TAAATGCAGTGAATCCTTTTGAGACAGTGTTCATGAATGTTTGGCTTCATTAAAATCTTTAAGATCAAAAAGTAAAACACGTGTAGGATGTGATGAAATTATGTTTCTTCTGTGTTAAAGGCTCACTAATGTTAGAATTTAATGCTTTCCATTTTTTTAAGCTCAGTCATGTGTGGATTTAGTGTCGATAGCTGATCAAGTTGTGTAACTAACTCATCTACACAAAGGCATTTTGTAGTGTAAAGCAGCTGTGGCAGTTGTTTGACTTAAAATGAGAACTTTAATCTCCACATTTGTTACTTTTTCACCTCAAAACAGTATTTCGAGTTTATTCCAAAATTTTGTCTTTATTCTCAAACTGATTTTCTTTTTTTCGTTAACCTACGTTAATTAGACCAAATGAAAAATGTAACCCAAGAACTGATTTTTTTTCATAACATAATACATTTTAAAATGTTTCACAAGCCAGTACTGCTGTATGTAGGCACTGTCACAATAAAAAAAAATAAAAAAGACAAAAATATTGGAAATGTGATCCAAATTTTCTATTATTGTGAAAAAATAGTTAATTTTAAAAATTGATGATTATAGAATATTTATTCAAACACTACTTAATAGAATTGAAATTACTGTGTGTAAAATTGTTAGTGAAATACAATCTGGCCTTCTTCAGGAGAAAGCTTTGGCAGAATAAGCTGGTTGGCATTGGCTGAGACAATTTGTTTTTCATGAGCGTAGCTCACACACTCAACTCTGCTACTCAAACCACAAATACATTTTCAAAAGCAGGAACACGCTGCTTTTGTTAAGCAAAAAAAATGCAAGTTAATTTGTGTTTTAACAACATGATTCATATAATACTTCAGAAAACTATTTTCTGTTTGCTATCTTAGTTTTATTTACTGTTAGCTTGTCACCTCCCTATGTATTAACACTTCCGTCAGAACAGCCGGTAACACCAGAAATCATGAAATGGCAGATAGAGTTGCAAAGGAGGCAACAGAATATGGGGTAGTTGACCTGGCTATTAGTTTTGGTCAGGCAGAAATAAAGAGTATTGTAAGGCAAGAAATGAGGAAAAGATGGCAAGAACAGTGGGAGGAAGAAAGGAAGGGACGGTGGCTGTATAAAATTCAAAGGAGGATAGGAGGAATGAGAACCACAGGACGGGAGAGGAGGTGGTCATATCAAGAATGAGATTTGGACATACTGGTTTGAACACTACACTATTCATGATAGGGAAACATAATACAGGATCACTGTTGAGAAGAGGAAACTATAGAACATGTTATATTACACTGTCAGAAGTATCAGGTGGAGAGGAGACAATTGATCCAAAACCTCAGTAATATAAAAATCAAACTGGATCTTATTGATTTATTGCAAAATGAATCTGAAAGTAAAAGTTATCGGGCCGTATTTCAGTTTTTAAAAGAGAGAAAATTGTTTGGAAAGTTTTGAGGGGTTTTTGTTTGTTCGTTTGTTTTTATGAGCGACGTTCCAGTTCATACTCCATACCAGTTGGTGGCGGTATTGCACCATTCAGTTTGCCAACAACTGAATGGTGAACGGAAGGACGGAAATCGTCAAACTCAGTGTTGTTTTGGTGCCATTAACGAACTACAGCTTTAGAAATTCTTTTAAGTTGTAGTCTACTAAATTTTTCTTTATTGGGATTGTTTTGGGGTGTTCCAAAATCATCCACAGTAATTTTGACTTATATTTGGCCTGATAGCTAAGGCGGAGGATAAGTTCTGTAGCCATTAGCGCTAACGTTAACAGAACTGTCACGGACACAGAGTCTTTTAAAAATGTTGTCAGCATCACAGCTTTTGTGGTTTCTCGCCTTTCTGATACTATATTCATTAGCTGAAGGTAAGGATGCTGATGTTATTTTTTGGTTTGCAGATATAAGTTCGTAGTCAGACCCAGCATGCAAACTACTTAGCTAACTTAGCTTTTAGCTATCAGCTACTACACGCTTTTATGTTTTACTACTTGTGCAAATATATCTGTCTAATTTTTAAACTTTACATTTTTAAATAACTGACTTAAGTGGCTTACTGATAGTTATTGTATCACTAAAAACTCAACCCTAAATTAAAGGACACATCTTGCTTAAAATGTTTTAAGTTATCTTTATAACTCCTCGCTAAACGTCATCATCATCCAGTTTTAGTTAATTAAGAAAGTTAACTAATAGGGCTGTGCGATATGACCAAAATCTCATCCCGATATAAGACATTTATCGTCCTGACAACGATATAAATCACAAAAATGTAACATTTTCTGTAAATTCTGTGAATCTCGGGCAACTCAAGTTGCGTTTAGTGTTCCCTGCTGGGCGTCGTGTACCTGGAGTCGAGTGTTTTAACCGATGCATGAAACTATACATTTTTAGACATAAGCTGTAACGGCCGCCGTTTTCTTTCAAAGTTTGAGTCTAGGGTTTATTTTTTAGCACCTGACGGCTCTTTTTTGCTTCTCATCCGTAAACTCTCTTTCCCGTGATTCAGTTTATTTTGAAAAGTCTCAACAAGATCTTTATTGTGAAAGGTTTACGTGGAAAACATAAAAACGGACAGCGAAGCCACACGATGGTTTTACTGTCATTGCTGCTAACGACAACACGTAAAAACAGGCGCTTGTCCGTCCATAGTGTGGTTATATTAAATATAAGAGAAAGAGAGAACTTTAAGAAATTATTATAGCCACTACAGTGACCATCAAAACGGTGAAAAAATATTGCTGTAAACAGTTTATTTTACGTCTTGATGCATTCTCAATCATCCAGGAAAGTAAATCTCCAAAAGTTGATTCTGTTCATCTGGACGCAGCGTTTTCAGCAACCTCAGCAACAGGACCACTCTCAGCATTGACCAAGTGTGTTTGCTTTTGGAACTGTGTCTTCATTGCACCTACTTCACATACAAGGGTCAGTTCTACAGGCAGAAACATGGGTGTGCCATGGGCTTCCCAGTTTCACCCATCGTGGCCAATTTGTACATGGAAGAAGTGAAAAAGAGGGCTTTGCTATCCTACCCTGGAACACCACCAAGCTATTGGTTCAGATATGTGGATGACGCCTGGGTGAAAATCAAATCTCAGGACGTACCACGATTCACGGATCACATTAACTCGGTGGACCCACACATCAAATTCACCAGGGAGGATATGAAAAGTGGCAGGTTAGCCTTCTTAGACTGTGAGATTTCCATCAGGAATGGGGGACATCTAAAAGCTGACGTGTACCGTAAACCTACACATACGGATCAGTATTTAAGGTTTGACTCTCATCATCCACTGGAGCACAAACTGGGTGTCATCAGGACGCTACAACACAGAGTGAACACCATCCCCACAGACACAGCAGCCAGGGAGGCAGAAGAACAGCACATCAAGAAGGTCCTGAGTAAATGTGGTTATCCCAGCTGGATATTTGTCAAAGCTGGGAAGGCACCTAAAGAAACCTCCAGGTGATCCAGGAGAGAAGGACAACTGCTGCCTAAGAGAAAACCTGTAGTGATCCCATATGTGTCAGGAGTATCAGAGCAGTTGAGACACATTTTTTTTCTAAACACCGGGTATCTGTGGTTTTTACACCCAAAAGCTTTTAAAGACCAAAAATTGGTCCAGCCCAAGGATCGGGTCCCCTGACACAAACAGAGTAACATAGTGTACGCTGTTAAGTGCAGGAGGATTGCCAGGATTTATACATCGGGGAAACCAAACAACCTCTGGCGAAGCGGATGGCACAACACAGAAGAGCTACTTCATCAGGCCAGGACTCTGTAGTCTGTTTACACCTACAGGCCAGTGGACACTCTTTCAATGATGAGGATGTTCACATCCTGGACAGGGAGGAAACGCTGGTTTGAGGGTGGAGTCAAGGAGGTCATTTACGTGAAAAGGGAACGACCATCTCTGAATCGAGGAGGAGGCCTAAGGGTACATCTATCACCATCTTGCAATGCTGTGATTGCAGCCATTCCCCAACTCTCTGAATGGGACTCATGGCCTTTGATCAGTGGTCTTTCAGTGGTTGTTGATCAATGGTCATGAGAATTTGCATAATCATAATGAAGGAACTGACCTCTCAGCCCATTGTTCCTTCAGTGGGCTGGTTTCAGTCATTATGCAAATATACTGTTTATAAGATTGAAACCTGCAGTCAGCTGAGACTGAAGAAGTCACTTGGATGAGTGACAAAACGTTTCTCCCACAAAACGCTACGTCCAGATGAACAGAATCAACTTTTTGAAGTTTATTTTACAACACCACAAAACAAACGATAGCGTAATAGGAAACGATAGACATTTTTATATCGTCATCCGATATATATCGTTATATCAAACAGCCCTATTAATTAAGATAAAAAGCCGCCTGCACTGTCAGTTGCATTTGGGTGGTTGACCCAAAGTCTTTAAACTGTACTTTCACCACCTTTGCTCCTTGCTGCTTCACTGTTCACACCTGTCTTTATCTCATTCAGGCATATTCTGTGTGGTGTAGCTTCTAAGCTGGCTAAAAAATATTTTAAAGCGAGGAGTTCTTTCTAACCCTCCTTACTTTTGTTGTAACTTAACAGCATAACTAACCACCTTAACAAATGCAACAGGTTGCATTTACAGCTGAAAGCGACTTTGGCCGTAGTGAGATCAGAAAAGAGAGAGTGATCCAAAACAGTAGTATTACGGTACTTTTTGTATACCTCATAATTCTGAAATCGTCTACACTGTAAACTTTTTACGAAACACTTTTCAGACCACTATTCAGGAGTGCAAAGTCAGTAATTCTATTTTGACCTTGGTGGAGAACTTTCTTGTATAAAATTTGCATAAATGTATTTTATCATATTTGTTCTAAAATATAATAAACAGTAGCCTGGCTGCTGACTAACATACATGTAACTTGTTGTTTCAGAGCAATGAAACCCCATTGCCTGCCATTCCCATTTGTTCCCCATCATGATTAAAATATGCTTTGTCCTCCTGGTTCAGGAATCAAAGTGTTTGCACCAGAAGGAAGTGACGCCATCCTGCCTTGCTCGTTCAGCACCAAGGAGGACATTGTACAAAAGCTGTTTGACTGGAGGAAAGTTGATCCAAATAAACAGGAGGTGTTCATGTATGACGGAGGCCTTCATTACAGTAACGGCCTTCCAGGTCAAGACGAGCACTTCAGAGGACGGGTCTCATATTTTTCACAAGAGCTGCAGTTTGGTAACGCCTCCATCATCATCAGAAACACCACGGTGGCTGACAGTGGAAATTACACCTGTGGTTTTCCACGTCTGCAGCCAGAACAAACATTCAACATTAAACTTGTTGTTGGTGAGTATTTTAGTTTTGAAGCATCCTGAAAAACCCTTCTTTAAGAACTCAGATTTTTTTAAATTGTTCTTTAAATGTTGATGTTGTTTTTGCCACTCAGTTGTACAGTCATTTAAAAAAAATAAAATAAAATTTCACTCCTTATTTGAAGTTTTACATATCAGGACATAAAAAAAGAACCGTCTCCTTAGCAGATATATGCAAGCTTAGATGAACAAAAACACAGGATGGACTACACGGTTTCATATAAATTCATCCAATGTTCAGCAGCAAGTGTGAGCACCGCTGTAAAAGCTGATGTTTTGGCAGTTTGCTTGAGGTGCAGTAAACAGATTTCTCCTGATGTGTCCTTAGAGACACATTCTGAAAAGCACAAATAAATGGCATTTTTTTCACAGTGGATCAACATCACCTGAAAAAAAGTTTTTACTCTTGAAGTTCTAAGGTTTTCAGGACTTGACAAAATTGTCAGGTCCTTAGCAGGTTTAAACAACCTCAGATGAACAAAAGCCCAGGACATATTACACCATGTCATTATTTATTTAATAAAAATGAAGCCAAAATGCAGAAACTGTATGTATAAAATCTAAATCACGCTATTATTGACTAGAGCTAGAAAAAGCTTTAGCAACAATACTTTAGCTTGTTTTCTGTGTGACTTTGAATCTGTCACATCATTCTGGAGTAATTTCGATCCACTCCTCTTAACATTGTTGCTTTAGTTCATTGAAGTTTGTAGGTGTTCGCTTACGCACATCTTTCTGAAGGCTCCTCAACAGGACTTCAGTTATGCTGAGGTCTGGACTTTGATTGGACCATTGCAGGTTCTTGATTCTTTTCTTTTGCAGTCATTCTGATGTAGAGTTGCTGCTGTCCTTTGATGACCCAGTTATGTCCAAGCTTTAGCTGTCAGACAAATGGCTTCAGATTTGACTTCATAACATTTGTATACAAAGGTGTTCGTGGTCGACTCATTGACTGCAAGGTGCTGTAATACGAAGCAAGTTCAACCAGGGTATGTTTCTGTTATCTGGATTCATTTAGCGTAACATTGATAGTGAGGATAAACTGTCACAAAAAGATGTGTATGTGCTGACAGTTGGTGTAAGGTGTTTGTGCTAATATGCCACGTCTGGTTTTCTCCAAATGTGCCACTGTGCATTATGGACAAACATCTCCACTTTGATCTTGTCCATCCAGTAGACACTGATCCAGAAGTTTTTTTGGGTTTGTCCTAGGCTGTGCTGCCATGTTCTTTTAAGGGTGTTTTTATTCCTCTGCTGTTTAGTCCATTTAAATTGAAAATTGGGTCATTACCAGAGTGTGTAAGGGGAAGAAACCCTCATAGAAACCCTTCCATGCTTGATCTAATTTTACTTTAAATCCAGAGTCTGAGATGTAGCTTTTAGGTTTTTATAATTACTCTGAGCATTGCACAGAGCATTGGTGGCAAGGTTGGCAGCTTTCTTCAATGTTTTCTACTTGTGAATAATCTTCCTCAGATTAGAATGATTGACTAATCTGATTAGAGGGTCAGCAGCAACAGATTCCTCTGAAGGTTGTTTCTGATGTCTTTCCTCTTTGGCACTGTGTTAGTACACACCTGAATGCTTCAGGCTGGCAAACTGGCAAAACATCTGCTTTTATAAAGGTCACATTTGCTGATGATTGGTTAATTAAGTGTACTGGATTAGCAGCACCTCGTTCTCACTGAATTCATATGGAAACAGTAAGGGTGGACTCTTTTTTTTCTTTTCTTTTTTTACACACTGTGTCTGCATTTTTGTTTAGCTTGTGCTGAATAAATGATATGGTGTAATATATTGTCATGGTGATCATCTGAACTTATAGTTACCTACAAGGACCAGATGATGTTTTTTTTTTTTTTTTTTTTTTTTACGTAAAACCATAACTTAATGATCCACTGTGGAAAAAAATGCTTATTATTTGCCTTTCAGAGCATGTGATCAGAGACCGATTTGGAGATACCCCAGGTGAGTAATGATGCTGCTGTTTACATCTGTAAGTTGTGTAGCTACACATCTGTTAACCTCAGCATCTGTCAAACATGTTTAAAATTGCCATAAACAAATTATTTAGATGTTACTGAGATCTGTGATTCTGTCAGTAATGACAGATAAGGAGAAATCTGTGCTGAACCTGACTTCAGTATCACTGTCTATTGTTGTCACATTCAAGAATGACACAGCATCAGGCCTTTTTAATATGTGAATATATACAGGCTGTTACTGAAAGTATTTGTGGCATGCGTGGTATATCATCATTCTGTTGTGGTGTTTGCACGTCATCTTTAAGCTAAGGCACATGTGACTGTCCTGTACTATAACGACCTGAGAGCAGCATATATTGTACACCTTAGAATTAGTATAACTGTGATGTGGATTTGAACATGGCAGTACAGGTACTGGTGTCAGGTACATGCTGTGTAGCTAACTAAGGCTGCCGCAAACGATTATTTTGATAGTCGGCTAGTCACAGATTATTTTTGCGATTAGTCGACTAATCAGATTATGCATCCATTGGACATAAAACGTACAGCTTATTGCATCAGAATGCATCTGCTCTTCTGTAACTATCATTAGCTTACAGCTTGAAGTGTTGAAGGAATGTGCTCATTAAAAGTAAGGACAAGATGATAGTTTATTAAACTTTTAATGAAATTTGCAGATTGTCTTGGTGGTTTAATAAACTCAGACATCTGCTCTTTGTTCCTAAAATATAACAGGACACTGGAGTAGATTCTCGACCATCTCACACTTCTGTTTAATCAGTTTTCAGTTTGCTGTTTATTCAGCTGTGTGAAAACTATAACTTAATCTCAGGTCAAAGGAGTTTGCAAAGAAAAGCGTCTGGACTTCTTTAAGTTACTTGAAGACGTTTCACCTCTCATCCGAGAAGCTTCTTCTTTACGACACCAACTCTCTGCCATCTATAATCCAGTTTTGAGTTCCTTTCCCAGACGCCTTAACGCCCACTCACATCCTGGGCCATCTGATCTCATGAATTCGCATGATAAGGTGGGGCCAGGTTTCACAATGAACCCACCCGAAACTCTGGCTGATTGGGGCCCACACCCAATTTCACACCTTGGCTCAGGCGATTAGAGGATCATCAGGGGGTCCTTTGTCCCTCTGTGGGGGGAAACTCCCACTAGGTTTATATCTGGGACTCTCCACCATTTGACCTTAGAACTGAAGAAGCTTCTCGGATGAGAGGTGAAACGTCTTCAAGTAACTTAAAGAAGTCCAGACGCTTTTCTTTGCAGCTCCTTTGACTACGATGACCTGGATGACTGAGAACCTTCACAGACAACTTAATCTCAGCTAAACCAATTTACTCAGGAACAAATAAAACAATGAAAAAAGCCAAACAATAACATTTTTCAGTTATCTAAGTCACTTATATATCATGTTTAACCTGAATAGCGAATAGACTGTGGGAGGTCTGAAAGCGATGTGCCAGGAGTCCGGTGATCGGGTGGTCAATGCTTTAGTGAACCTTGACCTCTCTGGTCAGCTCCATCTCTGAAAAAAATCAGAGCACTTTTGCAAATATGTGATTTCTTGATAAATCGAGCAGATATTTGAAATTTAGAAAGTTACAATCTTGCCTGATAATACCTTAAAAGTTTATTTTGTGACCCAGAAAGAGTAATATTAAAACTACCGTATTTTCCAGACTACAAAACGCACCTGAATATTACCCGTACAAGCTAAAATTAGGGGAAAATCTTGTTTTGTTCATACATTAGCCACACCTGACTAAAAGCAGCAGGTGTTTTAATGTTTAATTACCATATGTAAGAGAATATGCACAAAGGGGATTGTCAGTAAAGAGATTACTGTTTGTGAACACACCCCTTTTATTAATATTTTGAAAAACAAGCTACCGGTACATGTTTGCATAACTTTTTACGTATAAGTACCGGTAATTACAAGTACGAAACATGTAGTGTGCTTCATAAACTTCATAAACTAGTAACAAATAAATACATAACAATAACCTACAGCACACCAGAAAATAGATCCGGCCTACCTTTTGGGCTCAGGTGCAGTAACAGTAACATGGCAAGAAGAAAAGTCAGTCATTCACCACCATCTTCCTGCACTAAAACCACCAAAGTCCTCTTCTCCAGTGTCGGAAATGAACAGGCTCAGGGTGGCTTCGTCATCCACTCTCTGCTTCTCGCTTTCGTTGTCGCTTTCAAAACCAAAGAAATCCTTGTTGTCAGTGTCGGAATCAAACACCTCTGAAGGGCCGTGGCGGTGTCCTCCTCTTCATCACGCTGCAGTCCAGCCCTTCAAAATCTTTTGGTGATTGTGCATGTTTTGACACTTCTCCACGCTGTCACAATCCACTGGCAGACTTTCTTCATTTCTTTTGTCTGCCATAATGAGGATTTGTGAATGAAAGCTTCCTTTGCTCCTGCAATGCTTGTCTTGCTCTTGCTAATCTAGTTTGCTTTTTGCGCTAATTCACACGGCACTACTTTGCCTGGTGGACGGACATGTAACCAACATACCCCCCCCCATACTGTGTGTCTGATCACATGCTCCTCCGCCAGGCAAAGTAGTGCCGTACAACAGCGGAACAAACCAAAACAAATCCTCTTAGGATATCACAAAAATCATGAAAAATCCATGATTTCTGTGATATCGTATGATATCACCCGATTAAAAGCCACAGGGTTCAAAGCTTGTGCAAAAAGTAGCGGCTTATAGTCCAAAAATTACAGTAAGTAGCTGCCATTGTTGGAAACTGGAATAGGCTGGGGTGCGCTATGAATTCTGTGATAGGTTGGGCCACGAAGGATACACCCAATCCATCCTCCACATCTGGGGAAAAGGAGCACGCATTTGTCAGCCGCATTTGGAGGAATCTTCAAATTTGGACAGCCTCCGTCGCGTCGCTGTGATGTAATCAGCCTACAAATGCAGCCTCCGAAGGATGCGGCCCCTGAATTTGTACACAGCTACGATACCGGAGACTGCTTCTTCTTCTTCTTTGCCGTTTAATGGCAGCTGGCATTATTGTACATGCATTGCTGCCATCTTCTGTTTCAGTCCATTATTACACTCTTAAATCCCGCTACTTATTTCTGCGTCTTTCAGGATTTTAAACAAAGCTTTAAACGACGCGTCGACTATTACATTAGTCGTTGAAGATTGTGATAATCGACGCAATCATGTCTAATCGACTAATTGTGGCAGCCCTATAGCTAAGTTATGCTTTTTATGCTCGACTTGTCACTTGTGGTGTATGCTGATTTTAACATCATGTGATGCGCAACACAACCTTTGTGGCATGTCAGCTGGTCATGCACCTCACGATTTTGCAACTAACTTTGTAACTGCATCTGAGTTGGCGACGTGAGTGTACGATCTTGTTTTTACCGCCCATTTAATAATTTTCCAGCACAGAAGCTCAGAGACATACAGATACACAGACGGAGATGTTGGAACAGTTTGAAAACTTGAGTTTGTGGAAAAAGCAATATCAGTGCCTATGTGGCGATATTGGTGCTGACACCTATCATTCTGGAGAATACCACAGGGGCATTACATGTTTTACTGTACATTTTACTGCAATCCCCCCCAAAAAAAAAAAAAGATGAAAGTACATCTATTGTTGAAGCCCTCTGTGAACCCACATCGCTGTTAGTTTTGCTGTTTGAGTAATTTGTGAGGTCCTGGGATTAAATCGTTTCCTAACATATGTTTACTAAATCAGTCTCAAGACCAATTACCATAATTTTAGGTTATATTCAGAAGAGATCACGCAGTTCTGTTTTCTTTGTTTGTTTGTTTTTTAAATTAAAAGAGCATTGACATATTCATTTGTTATTCACATTTTAAGTTGGCTTAACAAATACAAACATTTCTTTGCAGTAGTCATTGTTGTAGTACTTAGGTACTGTGGTGTTAAGCAGGTGCTGATTCTTTATATTTTTTCTGAGCCACTGAGCGAGGTGATAAAGAATGACAGAGTTACTGACACAGCCTTATTCTGTTCACAGGTGCAGTTCTGAAGCCACTTGTTGGGATCCTGAACATCAGCGAGGACAAGGCGTGGCTGAAGTGTGAGGTCAGAGGTGCTTCTCCAAAGCCTAAAGTAGAGTGGAGGGACAGCGATGGGAACATCCTTCCTGCTGAGGAGCCACAGGTGTCATACAAAGGAGACCACTACTACATCACCCTCCTCACCACGGTGACCAGGACAAACACTAACATCTTCCACTGTGTAGCCACGCAGGAGGAGATCGGCCATAAGACTAAGGATAAGCTCTATGTCCCTTACTGTGGTAAGATTTGTTTTTTGGTATTTTACAGAACAAATAATTGTAATCATTGTTTCTGACAAAATGCTTGGAAGAACCTACTTTCTAAGTATCTTGTAGGTTTGTCTACTTGGGAGAACTTTTACTGGTCCACAGCAAATATTTAGTTGATGCTCCTTTTTTAATATGAGAACTGATAAGGGGGTCGTTTTGACCCTTTTGGAATTTTAAATATTGTGTAACTCTGTTAAATTAAAACCTTAATGGGCTTATTCATCAAATATTTGATTTAGCGGTGTGTGGGATTAAAAAGGAAAAAACACATTGACTGCTTTTACCTAGAACTGCCGAGGACAACATTTTTACCCCATAGAAATTAATTAGAGTATTGTTCTCCAAATCTTTATTCTTTTGTCTTTTATACAGGTCCTTCTCAAAAAATTAGCATATTGTGATAAAGTTCATTATTTTCTTTAATATACTGATAAACATTAGACTTTCATATATTTTAGATTCATTACACACAACTGAAGTAGTTCAAGCCTTTCAGTGTTTTAATATTGATGATTTTGGCATGCAGCTCATGAAAACCCAAAATTCCTATCTCAAAAAATTTGCATATCATGAAAAGGTTCTCTAAACGAGCTATTAACCTAATCATCTGAATCAACGAATTGACTCTAAACACCTGCAAAAGATTCCTGAGGCTTTTAAAAACTCCCAGCCTGGTTCATTACTCAAAACTGAGTAAGACTGCTGACCTGACTGCTGTCCAGAAGGCCATCATTGACACCCTCAAGCAAGAGGGTAAGACACAGAAAGACATTCCTGAACGAATAGGCTGTTCCCAGAGTGCTGTATCAAGGCACCTCAGTGGGAAGTCTGTGGGAAGGAAAAAGTGTGGCAGAAAACGCTGCACAATGAGAAGAGGTGACCGGACCCTGAGGAAGATTGTGGAGAAGGTGCGCTATGAATTCTGGGATAGGTTGGGCCACGAAGGATACACCTGACCCATCCCAGCTCCTTGGTTTTTCTAGTGTTGATCTGGAGGTAGTTCAGCTGGCACCAGTCCACAGATTCTTGGGTCAGTCCTCTGTACTCCCTGTCGTCCCCATCAGTGATGAGGCTATTGCAGAGTCATCAGAAAACTTCTGCAGGAAGCACCCGGTGGAGTTGTGGAAGAAGTCTGCAGTGTAGATGGTGAAGAGGAAAAGAGCCAGAACCGTTCCCTGTGACACACAGCCCTGAGTTCTCACATACTAAATACATAAAAATATTCTTTACATGTGGGTTGAGCCTTTTATAACCAGCTGTTTTTAAAGCCCTGCTTTTCCTTCATGTTCGCTACAACGACGTTCAGTGTGAATGTGAATTTTATTTTTGGTTTGTACATCATTACGTAAAAGTCATGAATTGATTCTGCATGTCATTGAATAAAATAAGTATTTATTCCCATTCAACCCAACCAGAATTCTTGTTCCTCCAGACTAGCTCTGTTGCCATGTGAGACACGGATTACAATCAATCAGTCGGTCAGTCAATCACAGATTCTGATCATGATCTTGACTCGTGTGTTTAGATTGGATTTGATTGATGTTTTCACTGCTTTGTTTGACTTTTTTTATGGGTTTTTTTTTGTTTGTTTTTGTTTGGTTTGGTTTTTTGCTAAGGGTACAAGATGACTTCACTGAGTGGAGTGGAGGGTACCAGGTACCCCAAACTTCCCTTCTCTGGGAAGAACACTGAAGATGAGTAGTAGATAGATCTCTTAGCATGACAATGTCCCAAAACATATCACCAAAAAAACAAAGGAGTAGCAATGGAAAAGGAAAATAAAGATTGCAGAGTGGCCTGGCCAGACTTCAGATATCAATTCTTTAGATAATCTGAGGAGGGAGCTCAAGCATGGAGATGCTACGTGACTGTAAAGAAACCTGAAGGATTTAGAGTTCATGTAGAAAGGAGTGGGCCAAAATACCTCCTGAGATGTGTGCAAACTTGATGACAAACTACAAGAAATGTCTTATTGTTGTGCTCAGCACAGGGGATTTACCTGACATGCTGTACATGCTCTTTGAAATAATGCTATGTTTCAATGCTAAGTCAAAGCTAAAGGCACTTTAACAAAATATTAGTGTGTGAAACTGTTTGTTTGGGATCTTTTTGTTTGTTTGTGTGTTTTTTGTGCTGGACAGTCTCTATGACAGAAAATATAGAAATTTAGTACGTGTTTCCTTTAACGTATACTGTTGTAACTGTTTTTTGAACTTTTTCTTAATCTTGTGTTACAGGTGAGGCTCCAAAGCCACACATAACCATACTTGGTGCTACTGAATCCGGGGTGCAGCTGAAGTGTCATGTTGGAGGTGTTCATCCCAAGCCGAAGCTACAGTGGAAGGACAGCGATGGAAATGTTCTTTCTGCAGAGGACCCAGTGGTCTCAGAAAGAGGAGGCCGCTACAACGTCACCCTCTGCACTATTGTGACCCCAACCAAAACCAACTGCTTCCACTGTGTAGTTAAACAGGAGGGCTCGTACCAAGTGATTGATCAAGAGATCAATTTGTCAGGTGAGAATCTCCTCAGAGTTGGTTGTGTTCATTGGATTTAAAGTTTCAAAGCTTTTAGGACTATTGAGCATTTTTTAGATTTTTCTGTTGAGGTTTAATCAATTACTTATGATTTGCATACATTTTCAGCAATTTCAGAAAACCTGTTCAAAAGCAAATCTGGACAAGTTATCACTGGATGGCTGGGTGGATGTTTCATTGGAATCCTAAGTTTTGCTTTCGTTCTGGCTGTGCTTGTGACTACAAAGACCATCTCAATACACTTTAATAGAGGTAAGTTAAAGTACTTATTTAATAATATGCTGTGTATAGCGACCAACATGTTAAATATATTAATGATTTGTAACATTAATATTGTATTATTGCAGTGGTTCCCAAACTTTTTTTGCTAGCCCCCCCTTTGTTTTACAAGAAAAATGTTGGGTTAGAATGAAGTTGGTTTGGAAACATATTCAGCTATGCTTCATTGGGCCCCACACTTTGGGAAGGTCTGTATTATTGTATAATACTATGTTTTTGTCATTGTTCACATATTAGAAGTCATTTCATTATGCCTTTCTTTTTCTGATGTTATACTAAAATGCATAGAAATGCTGAAAAAAATTATGCTTTGGCTATATATCCAGCTGGATAGCAAATGGATAGTGGTAAGACTAGGCGCCTTTGGAATGGGAATTGTAGGTTTGACTCCTGACTGGGGTGTCTGTATTCAGTAAGGGTGCTAGGCTATACCCACCATGTTAACCAAGCCAATCTCAGACATGAGCGAGAGACATAAACATGAAGCCATAGCGCCTTGGACATCACCCTGATTAACAAGATCTGCATCAGGTGTTGAGGAGCCAGGGCACCCTGATGAGAAGTGGGCTACTGGAACAAGAAATCATCAGTGGGCAAGAGATGAAAATAGGGCACTACTGGAATGCTACTACGCAAGTAATCCTGGTGGAAGGGGTTACATGAATAGGATGAGGGACCTATGGAATCTTCGATACCCAGCATCCAGATTGCCAGCAAAACAACTAGTAGCTCAGTGTTCCAACATTCAGAATAAGGAACTGCTCTAATGGCTAGAGATTGATGAGGTACAACACAAATGCTATGGCAAGGGGGAGCCAGGACGTCAGTTCAGGGGGAAGATATCCTCACCCCCACCCGAGAGAGAGTGAGAAATAACAAAAATTCCTCTCTAGCCCCTGCAGGCGGTGTTTATCCTTCAAGCTGCGCAGTATCTTAACTGTTCCTAGGGCTGCGCTCTTCTGGAGATCTCCCATTTTGACCTCGGCACTTCCAGGCCATATTCGGCACAGATGTTCCTGTACACTATGCCGGCCACTTGGTTATGGCGTTCCATGTATGCCTTGCCTGCTAGCATCTTGCACCCTGCTGTTATGTGCTGGATTGTCTCTGGGGCATCTTTACACAGCCTGCACCTGGGGTCTTGCCTGGTGTGCTCAACCCCAGCCTCTATGGAGATATATATACATATATATGTGTGTGTGTTTATCTATGTGTAATTCATGCAGCTAAAATTCAATAGCACTCCTTAAAATGTTTCTGCAAATGGGAGACAATTTAGCAGAAGGCCTGTTCTTTCTGATTTGTGTGTAATCCCCCAAACTCTCAAAAGCAAATAACCAGCCCAATGTTTTATGGGGGTTTTTTACGTAATGTAATCTGATTTTAGAGTGATGCTTTCTGCTCTTTTTGCATTTATTCTGCCTCAATAACGTTTTAATTTTATAGGTGTAGCTGCAGGTTTTCTTTGATTCCTGGCAAATAAATCGCTGACCCACTTAGACCCGGATACACACTTTGAGTCAGTTTCTGTCTGTGTGTTGAATTAGAATGAGATTAAAATGTTTTTAGAATAGCAAATAATTTCTGTAAGATTTCTAAAAGTTAACTTAATGAAAATGTGTTTTCAGGCTGCCTTAGGAATGCAAACAGTTCCTCAGAGGAGACAACAGCACCAGGTTCTGAGACAGGCCCAGAAGAATTACGAGTTCTAAGGAACGGTTCAGTGGTTTGATCCCCAGCTACTTCACACTGTTCATGGGCAAACTACTGAAACACAGATTCTCCATGTGTATGTGCCAGTTAGTTGGAAAGCACTGTGTACAAAGATGAAGGTGCACATAAAAGTTATCATTTTGTGCGTGTGTGTGTGTGTGTGTGTGTAAATGGGTTCATCAATTAATAACACCACTAATTTAAAAAAGAGTGAGTGGATTAGCTTGTTACATTGATTAAAGTGAAACCCCTAAAAAGAATCTGATGAAAATGTCTTAGATCAAACGTCCAGCACAGTTAACCCTGTAAAGTCTAACCTGCTGCTGGCATCAGAAATTTTTTAAAAATATCTGCAATTCCTGAACCAATTGATGAATTGAAAGAATTCCAGTGCTTCTTAAGTTGTTTTGCTCTTTTTTTATGACTGGAAAAAGAAGCTTGCTGGCAAGAATTATGATGAAAATTATTGATCAATGAAGTAAACACTGTGTCTCAAAGTAAACTCAGGCAGCTAATCAATAATTACCAAAGTCTCTCATTAATATTTTTAGTGGTGATGACAGCAGCTGATATCACTAAAAATGCTCTGAGACCTGAACAACAAACGATGGCAATATTAGTGTAGCAGATTCAAGGTTTCCAGATTGCTTCTCAGTGTCAACTGGAATAAAAAGCCAGAGGCTCAATCCTTTTTAAAGGGCAATATTTAGTAAACTACTCCTCCTTTATGTTCTCTGCATTTTGTTAAAAAAAAAAAATATGCAAGTAAGGATTTAGTTACAAATCATGAATTGCCACTATTTTTTATGCACTGCCTGAAGCAAGGTCTTGTTTTATGCGATGCTTTTGGAGGACTGCAAAGGGAACACTGATAATGTTGATACTTTTAAGCCTAATTTCATTTGACTAGTTTGATTTAGACTTATGCAGGAAATCTTTCTAATTTTTGGCATGTATACATATGTCCCTTTGTTTTGTATGTGGTGCATTCCCTCACATCCATTCCAATATTTTCAGCAATCAGCCTCCTACAGTTTGCTGATATTTGTGAGGCCTTAAATTAATTCTATTAATTATTTTATTCCTCACATTGACAGGGTAATGATTGTTGTTCTCTCGCAGAACATTAAAAGTAGCTGGAGGAATTCAAAGTGCTGAACAGGCCAGTCACAATCACAACCCCACAAAGGGATGTGATTGTCAGTTTATGCCATGGGTTGGTTGGATTCAGAGGGGTATACAACATAGATTTCCTGCTGAAGCACAAATCCCTAGTACCGTATTTTTCGGACTATAAGGTGCACTTAAAATCCTCGAATTTTCTCAAAAATTGACAGTGCGCCTCATGTACTTGTTGTGCTTACTGACCTCAAAAAGATTTTATGTGGTACACGGCGCTCAGCAATCTGTCAAAATGTTTTAGTACGACTTTGGTAAGCTACGAAGCTGCACCGGCTACTGTAGTCAGGAGCCTCACGGAGTAATACGGACTTTTCTTCAACATAATATTACCGTATTGTGTGTGTATAAGGACCCCAAATTGGCACCCGCTAAGAGACATGGTTACAAAGAGGATTTCAAACTCCAGGCTGTCAGTCACGCAGTAGAACATGGGAATAGAGCAGCTGTGAGAGAATTCAGCATTAATGAATCAATGGTACAGAAGTGGAGGAAACAAGAATGAGTTCAGTGAAGTTTGACTCATCTGTTTTGTTTTGCTTAATGTGCCTTATAATCCAGTTCTCCTTATGGTCCCAAAAAATAGAGTAATTACATGCTATTTTGTACAGAGCTGTACTATTTAAGTTTTAAAATGTTTGTTTTTTTTACATTGCACTTTTTGTGTTTCTGCTCATGGCATTGTGTGTGTGTGTGTGTCATGTAAATTATGTCATTGTGTATTACATTGAAATATTATGTCATGTTGTACAGTAAATAATTTTAAAGGGGCTGTCCAGGCTTCGATGTCTTTTACGAATGAAAATATATCAGTTTGTTTTTTAAGTTTATAAGCTTTAATTTCATTGTCAAATTTTATTCTATTTTTAATCTTTTTGATCAGTGTTTGAAAACTATCATAACAGCATCATAGTAACATGTAAAAGAATTCATAATGACAATTTTGGTCATTTTAGTGAAAAATGAATTGGTGCTCATATATGATTGTGACAAGTTTATTTTTTAAAATGTTTTTTTTTCTAAACCACATTTCTTGTATATTTTCGTAAATAGAATGTGGATCTTTTGCACCTTTTTCAATAAAGATACTTTTCTAAATAATTGCTCTGTGTTGTACGTTTGTTTTGTGCAGAAGTAATGTTTATTAGTGAAACCATATTATCTTCAAATTGCACTGTCCATCATTACATCTGTTTGCTCTTCACCTTCAGCTTCTTGTGGATGCACCTGTAGATGGAGCACTGAGCTGTGATGCTGCGTGAAGCAGCAAAAGTAAAAACAAACAAACAGCGCGTTGTACAGCAAAGTGAGGAAATCCTTAGAGGAACATTTTAACTGTTGTTAATCTGCCATCATCACAGAGAGAAACAGAAAAAGTGATGGATGTTAAATTTAATCTCCCGTCACACTGAACGACCTTTATTACAAACTGCTGGGTAACAACAAAAATAACGTCAACATCAAATGTGGAACATCGCAGAAACAAAAGGATGACACGAATTTAATAGAAAGATTTTTAAAAAGTAACAGTATTATTTTTTCATTTTAAAAATGACAAAATCAGGCTGATGTGGAGCTGGTTAAGAACTAAAATGAACCATCTTTGGCACAATACTCCCAGCAGTTTGATCAGCTGTAAAGACATCTTCACTGAATTTGGAGTTCATACTCAAGGAAAAGAAAGACATCTTTAAGTGGTATAAGGCCTCCAGACAGGCCAATAATTTCTTTTATTTTCTTTGTGAGAGAAAATGAAATGTTTTTTTCTGAAACTGATGTAACTTTGAGGCTAGTTTTGGTTTAGAGTAGCTGCCCATCTTTAATCAGTTCAGTTTAATTAGTAGTTTGTTTGTTGTTTTACCACAAATTAGTGTGAGTCCGTTTCGTGACCAACAGTTGAGATAACAGTAAACACTGGAGGAACTTTCACTGCTGGGGCGGCTGTGGCTCAGGAGGTAGAGCAGGTCATCTACTGATCAGAAGGTTGGTGGTTCCCCCCAGTCTGCACGCCAGATATATGAGCAAGATATGAACCCAAGTTGCTCTCCGATGCATCAATTAGCATCCATCAGAGTGTAAATGGTAGTTAGTAGGCACTTAGCAGCATAGAAGACAGTGCTTGTGTTGCGTTTGAGTGTAGAAAAGTCCCATAGAAGAATCAGTCCATTTGCCATCTAGTTTTCTGCTGTCTGAATCACTACGATCCATGACCTTACCATACACAGTTAAAGTGCGCCATCCTGTGGTACTTACTCCACACTCCTGCTATAGATGAATCATTCACTTTCAACTCACTGCACAGACAGCTGTTTATTTTTTTAAAGCATTATAGCGTCAAACCTGGAGGCAGGCAAAATTACAGTTTTTACATTTTTACTGAACAGTTTTGAATTTAAAAAAAAATCTGTTGAACCTCATACAAAGTGTGCACTTGCTGGCCACTTTATTAGGTACACCTCCTCAACTATGTGTTAATGCAAATTTCAGCCAATTACATTTCATGGAGCTCAATGCAGTCAAGCATGTGCATGGTCAAGACAACCTGCTGAATTTCACAGCTAGCATCGGAATAAGGAAGAAAAAATATTTATGCAACTTTCTCTGCTAGGAAGGCAACAAGAAGTAAAATAACCTATTGTTACAACCAAAGTGTGCAGAAGAGCATCCATCCATCCATTCGCTTCCGCTTCTCCTTTTCAGGGTCGCGGGGGGCGCTGGAGCCTATCCCAGCTGTCATAGGGCGAGAGGCGGGGTACACCCAGGACAGGTCGCCAGTCTGTCGCAGGGCCGACACACAAGGACAGACAACCAGTCGCACTCACATTCACACCTAGTGGCAATTTGGATTATTCAATTAACCTATCCCCACAAGCTGCATGTCTTTGGACGGTGGGAGGAAGCCGGAGTACCCGGAGAGAACCCACGCAAACACGGGGAGAACATGCAAACTCCACACAGAAAGACCCCGGCCTGATGGTGGAATTGAACTCAGGACCTTCTTGCTGTGCGGCAACAGTGCTAACCACCGTGCTGCCCCGTGCAGAAGAGCATCTAAGATAATATCTTAGTCTAAGATATTTTTGTCATTCTTCATGATTAAACAATGGGGGGTCATAGGCCAGAGAAGACAGTAGTTGAAAATGCAGTATTGCAACTTCAGCAGATGCAAACAACTGTTAAAGCCTGAAGAAGGTTTTTGTATTTTAATGCTTAGTGTAAACTAGATTTAGTCCCGACATTAAATCCAGGAAAGTATAACAATGTAAGTCTGTTTTAGATTTGACAACAGATAAATATGTCATATCAAGATAATTATGACCAGAGGTACTTCACTTTTACTTGGGTAATAAATTAGATTCAGTACTTCAACATATACTGGAGTATTTTTTAAAGCAAGTATCTGTACTTCTGTTTTTTCACTGCAGAGAACATGGTTTTTGTCGCATACACATGAGACGCGTCTTGTTTACCACGTCCATCAAACTGGAAGCAAATCATTTCTACCCTTCCTCACACACAGGTTCCACCTCTCTGAAGTACTGTAGCTAGAAATGGTACTTCTGTTTTGTTCAAGAGCTATGCAATGAAAAATATTGTTGTTAGTGGATTCAAAAGTTAACAGGAAAAAAAAGGAGGTTGGATCAATAAAGCAAAAGCGAAAACGTGCAGGCTCTGAAATGTAGTCAAGTAAGACTTAAAAAACAAAACAAAACATCCCTTTATGCTCACTCCTGTTCTGTAGCGCTAGCTAAATGCTGTAAAGTACAACTTAGATTCATTTTGTTATATTGGTATAACAAAACTGCTCTGACTGTTTGTCACTGTAACACTGAAGTCTTTAGAGACTTTATTTGGCAGTAGAGTTGAGTATGATTTGTGTTGTTATAACTGTTTTAGCTTAAATTGTAAATATAAGTGTTAGTAGCTTCATGATTGTTTAAACTGGGGTGAC